TCAGCAGCCGGTGGCAGCGGCTGCGCTAAAGGTCAAACGACGTCAGAGTGCAGGGCGGACTAAGCCGGAAAGTGCAGCACGTTAACTTTCGTCGCCGAATCTGGCACTGACTCGGTATTACACGATCGGACGGTACGGGTCAGGGCTCAGACAACAAGCAAGGCTTAGGGTAAGCTCTGATCCTCGAAATCCATTCACTCAAAAGGCTTGGAGTAGACCGCTAAAAAATGCCATGGCATGTTTCGCTTGGCGTCATCCTGAACATACGACAAAGCCGTTACTTGCATTATGCGCAGGACAAACGGTCCAGAATCCGGGCATTTGGGCCAGGTCACCTGCTGCGGCCGGGGTCACATGTTGCACGCGCTTAGGGCATTGGGCAGAACGACTGCTGGCAGGTGTCCAGCGCGATCCATTACGGAAACGTTCTGGGTCCAACTCTGTCAACTTGTTTACCCACAACATTTCAAAGCGTGTTTCCTATGTAGTCTTGTATTTGGCTATGACAGATGGAGATACAAGACGTCTCGATGTCAGGCGCCGAAAGGCGGGCTTTTGGAACCAATTGTTGGTGTCACCAACGGGGCATAATGGAAAGCAGCAATTCGGATGGAGCAATAATTTGAGTTATTAGTTAGGGTTTCTCTGCACGGAGAGGAAAAGGGGCGGGGAGGGAGGGTGAATTCCAGGCCCATTACTCACAATTCACCACACAAGCAGATAGTTCACGTCAAACAGCATTTTTTCATCAGCCGTCGAGCCATAACGGGTCACATGGTGTGCTTGGATCACATGTGCAATATCTTCCACCGGTACAACGGCATCGCGCTAACACCAGCACAATAACCATTTGCTGGCAGAACACGCAAAAGAAGGGCTCGTACCGGCCCTGATACTGGAGTTGTAGGCGGTCAACACCGGTCTATATTTCCCAGTACTGCCGCAGCCTCGGCACCACCATCCAAAGCAGACCTCCAATATGGCCGGCGCTGCATCAGCACCAGGGACAGTACCACGGCACCCCAATCTTGCAGCTCCGGTGGACGTGTTTTCTGGCACTACGACCACCCACGTCACGCGGACCGTCAGGTCGGCTGCCAGCTGGCCTCTCTCTCCATTGGTCGGGTCTAACAAGGCGCAGCTTCCGGGATTCGGGCCCAGTGCCGCGGGAATACGAGGTCAGCGTCTCGTCCCACGTAGCGGTCAAGTTCGCCCCAATACTGGGCCAGCGCGGTACCAGGAACTCCATTCCGGGATCACGTGCCGGCGGTGATAGGCATATTGCACCCCGTTTGTTTGTTCCAATCAATTGCCTTGTCTTGATGTGACGCCTCAACACCGGAATGCACCACATAATAGGAAGGCCGTTTTTACACTGTATGCCAAAATATCGTTAACATTGGACCAATACGGAGTCAAAAACATGCTGCAAATAAGATCGACACTGAGCCACACAATGTGCATGCAAACTGTGGCAGGCGACTGGAGAGGGAACTGTTGGAGCAGGATCAATTATATTCCGAATGGGTCGGCACCTCGTCTATTTTCGGGTAGCTTTACTGAACCTCTCCCACCAGTGTGCATGGAATGTCTCCAAATGAAATGAGCCATGCGACCCTGAGATATTTTTCAAACTTTTGTCAGCTTTCAAGCAGCCCAAAAATGTGACCCTAACCCCACTTGCCCTTTGTGAGGTGTTGCATGAGGCCAGCATGCACATTGTGCCCAGTGAACATCACATTTTTGACCTGGTTGAATGTGACTGAGGTATGCCACAATGCTGAAATAGGCATTCAGATATGGTCATCATCCCTCTTGTCCCTTTATCATTTAGCTGGTATTGCTGGCCCTAGCTTTGCTGGCATCCTCCATGAGGGCATCATAAGGTCATGCTGCCATTCCATCCTCACTTGGCATGCAACAATCCAGGTTGTCTGACAGCTGCCAGTTCCCATGTCTGATGCAATCATGAAAATGCATGTATTTCTAACCCTTGTTCAATCAGACAATGTCATAATCTGATGAACCATTTTTACCACAATTAATTGTGCTGTTTCCAGGCATTTTTGGTCCACTTTAATGGTACATCCCTGCATGATCTCCCCACATCCTGGAATGGCTGGAACATTTGTTTAACATACATAGCATAATCAAATTGTTTATTTGTTGCCTCTAGGATACAGTGGTTAGCTGGTGCCTAGCAAGGACACTGATCATAACACAGGTTGGGGAAGTAATATGTGCAACTCTGATGTGGGGAAATGATCATGGTGGAAATGGTGAATGGTGGTCAGTGGTGATGGCACAATATATCATCATGATCTGGCAAATGGTTCTCAATATAATTTTCTTAGAAGTAGGCATGGTAGTCTCAGAATCATCTGGCCAACACTTGTTTGATGCTGGCATCAATCACGTAGTGGATGACATACTTAGGCAATCTGAAGGGTTTCAAAGTTAAAAGTTCCTGACTGCAGGGATCAATCAACCAGTCAATCACCTCCATACCTCCTAATGGCATTTCACCACATATTCAGAGCATCTCTGGTAAGTTCCCTTATTGCTTATCTATAAGTGTAAGCTTGCCTACAAAGCAATTTGTCAATTGTTGCCTTCCCCTAGTTGCTGCCTTCACAGATGTCCTCAGTGATTAAATGTTATGTAATATTCTTATCTAAATCAAATCCCATTCAAATTCTATTACAGCTGTTGTGCAACCTGGTTTGCATGTATTCAGCAGGGCCTAAGTCTGTTTTTATTACTAAATAATACAAGCTCATGTTGAAAGTATATTTTACAGCTTGTGGTGAGCTGTCCTGCTCCTTCATATGTAAGGGCAGCCTGACCTGGCCCAGGCTGTCAAAAAAGAAGAGGTTGCATATTGCAAAACAGTCCATTTTCTTAAATACAATATCTTCTGAGCATGACATTCCTTACTCTTGAGAGCTGAAAGGTTGAGCACATCACTCAGCAAGTCCTTAAATTTTGATCTAGAAGCAAAAGTGGCTGCTTCTCTCAAGTGTTGTAGGCAAGGCTATCTAACATTGCATCATCTAGGTTGTAGGTGCCCTTTTTCCCAGTCTAGGGACACCAGCACATTGCCAAGTAGCTCATAATTTATGTGGGTTAGTCACCACAGACCACAAATCTTTGGTGCTGAGTACTAGGCAAGAATATACCAGATGGAATGGGGGGGGGGAGCATTTGGGTGCCTCAACTGCAAAGTCATATGGGCAAAGCATACCAATGTTGCAGTTGCAAATAATGTGGTTGCTGATGATGCCTTAGATAATGTGGTTGAAGACGCAGTTGGCTAAGACAACACCCAAAATATTGAGAATTTCTCCTTTTCCTTATCTAGTAGGCATAGATATGTGTTTAGAATAGCAAACATTCACACAGTATTAATAAACAAGTGTGAGAGGGGATTAGATGCAGCACAGAGTTTATTATACCTGGTTGATTCATTGGATGCCAAGGTCTCCCATGGGCTTTAATAACTGTTAAGGAAAAGTACAAGTAACATCTGTTTTCTTTAAGGCAGATGCTCCATTTCTATGGAAGATTTTTCTCTACAGGGATAGTCATTCTTTTTCACAGAACATCTTTCTTGGCTCTTAAATGCTGCCTTAAAGATCACTAGGCATGTCACAGTACATGAAACCTACCAACATACTTATGTGGTCCTGATAAAAGTAAACTAGAGTCCAGATGGTAAAAAAATGCACCTTAGGCTGTACATGCTTGGTACGCCATACCATATCAGGTATGGTGGCAGGATCACAGCAGCGACTTAACTCATGCATCCCATAAATCTGGGCACTCAGAGTTCAGAGCATGGCCAATGCTGATTTTGGCACATGATGAGCCCATGTGACAAAGAGTTAACACGTTGGAAAGGCAATTTTATGCAAATAAAACTTCAAAAATATTTTTGATGCTAAAATTAAGGAATGCAGGGCAAGCTGGAGTGGTGTGAGTCCAACACATGCAAGCATGGGCTTCAGCACGCAGTTAAATAGGCATTTAGGTCAATGGATGAGACCATATTTGGTGTGCCGGGATTAAAGTTTGTATACACACAATGGCCAACTAAATTCCATATGAAAGAAGGTAGGCTGAGGTTAAAGCAGTACGGTCTTTGCACTTAGGGAAATAACGCCAATCACTACTATAAGATCAGCAAATCCGCACCTTTTCTCACCGCGAACAGCCCCTCTCACACAATATCTCGACGCCAGAAGCGCGGACGGCGGCTCGCACCCAACCACAGCCAACCTCGCAACAATTTGGTTTAAATTTGCTCGGTTTGGTACATATTTTGATCAACACTGTTCGTCCAAGGATTGTGTCGAATGCCTAAAACTGCCCGACCGTGCAGCTCGTGAACCGTTGTAAATATGTAATTTGGTACAGCATTTTTTTTTATATTCTAGTAATCTGTTGTTTTAATTTGTTGTTTTTTAGTTAAAAACCCTTGTAAATTCTTTGAACTATATTTATATGCATAAGATTGGTATATTACGTCACCATAAGGATTCCATTGCTCCTAAGTCATGAGATATCGGCTATGCATGCACGGGTAACCTAGCAGCACTAATACCAACTAATGCTTTATCCTATGACCGGTAGATGAGGTCCTTTTTAAACAGAATCGTGAAAAGGCAAGGCAAAAACATGCAAAAGTGTGATCATCAATTACGTGATATGCGCATAAAGGTGACTTTTAATTTTCTCTCGCAATATTAAGAGTTGAAGATGGATATTAGCTACTAATAGCAAATTTTCAAAACCGATTTGTATGAGTCCCTTCCAGTTTTTACCAACTCTAATAACAATACGTCAATCTAGCGCTATAGCTACAAACACTGCGCATCGCTGGTGCTATCAAAGGGTGCTATATTGCTATGCGCCCTAAACCAATAACGACAACAAGGGGTGCTATCGTCGCTGCCGTGCTACCCTGCGCTTAAAACAATCGCGTTTTGCGGCCGGTTGTGCAAACTATTCCGAAGACAGGTGAGTGTATTTGAGATCCGATCATTGATCTGCACGCAACATTCAAATAGATCGTTTTGTCCTGAAGACATGCCCTGACTATTGCTGGCCTATAGGCCTACCCAATAAATAGCTGCATGATGACCATTGTCTACGTAGGTAACCTTTGTGCGAGCCTGCGAAAGATCCATCTACTGATCTTGAGGCATTCAAGAGTTTCATGTATTGAACCTCACACCTGCATGTGTTAAATTCAGGCCAGCCCAAATGATGCTGAGTTTTGTGGATATTTTGGTGTGAAAAATGTCATGGCTGGTGGAAGTGGGTGACCCCTAGATGGGGCTGCATAAGGAATGAGTAAAATTGACAGATGTTAGCCAGTGAACTTGGGCATAAGTATGCGGAATGCAGATTGGGATCATATCTTTCCCATGCATTCCATGATGCAGTGAGTGAAGCCTTGGCTACATGATAGTTGTTGTTATCATGGAGTGGCAAACTCATCTGGGACTATTTTTCACTTCTGATGTGATAATCTGGCACCATGCTCATACAGTACAGTTTAGCTGTGCACAACCCAGGCTGAGATGGCTCCTCACCACAGGTGTGTGGGCTCACATTATGGGGGCTATAGAGCTCTCAAGCCTATCCACATATGTGAAAAGGTAGCCCAAGACTTATGCATTACATGGAACAATGTGAATAAATTCCAAATCTTGGTCAGCTGAGCAATCTTTTGAGCCAATTGAAAATTAGGTTATGAGCAAATTAAACAAATTAGAGAGTTGGATACATTCTTGTGCAGTTAAGCCCAAGTCTGTATACCTGGTCAAGCCACAAAGTTTTGGGATTGACAACCCACAGTGGAGTCTCTCACATTTGTTTTTTTACTTAGTATGTTAGTGTAAAGTTTTCTGGCCTGTTGTTTCTGGGGGTGCTGTTTGGATCTAATTCCTCAGGTTGTTTGATGTTGTGGCTATTTGGGTTCATCCTACAATATGTTGGTAGACCAGGGCCCCAACCATGGTCCTTTTTGTTGTAAGCTTACAAGTGTCAAATCAAAATGACCTACATATATGACCAATAAGTCTAAATAGCTGCCCCATGCTACAAACTGATAACTTGCTCAAGCTATGATATTGCCTTGGGTTATGTGACATAAAATGGCAGAAATGTGTTGTGGAGAACCTACCCTTGACCTGACATGATCATCTCACCCAGTGTCTATGAATGATTTTATATGTTTCTGAGGCCAAAAAATATGATATTTACTTTCATTTCAGAAGCAGAGCTCCACAACCATTACTGGGCACATGAGAGGTCCCAAAGTCCATATAGAGATTTTGAGAGAAACAATCATTCATGTGAAATATGGTGTCAGCAGCATATAACTGTCAAGGTCATATGCTGTAAGTTGCTATGGCTAGAGCCATCAACTACCAGCAAAATATTTCCAAGATGTTAGCTAGGTGTTGGTGCAATTAGTGCAAAAAAAGCAATTATCAACCCTCTAGTTAGTCATGGTAGACATGTGTCCTAGGCAATACCAGGTTATGATGATTGTCAACATCAAACAACCAACATTATTAGCCACCCAACACAGATGACCCCTGGGATGTATTCTACAGGGGATAATTCTTTCGTCTTGTTTTTTCAGACAAGCCAATACCAGGATGGAGGGTCTTGAGAAGTACAGGATTGAAGAAGTAAGTCGTGCCACTGTCACAGAGTATGCACAGAGCTACCTGTGATATAAAAGGCAACCTTTTCATCAGTGCAAGTCACCGAGGTTTGTCGTATTATAATTAGAATTCATCAGTTTTCATTGTCGTCACATTCGCAACTTATATCAGACTGAAAGGAATCTTTGACCATACTCCTACGAAAATACAGTGACTACGCCTCGTCTCCTTCTTGTGGAGCACACTTAAAGCGAGGGCATTTATCGTAGCTGACGGTTGAAAAATCTGCGATTTATTGACTTACACTTTGTGTTTACGGACATTGTCATGTGATGCTGATTCCACAAGGCCCTGCCGCCGCCAGCGAGTCCGCCCGGCAGTGCTGCAGCGCCGCCGCCCGACGCATGCGATGTGTCCCCAGGCGCCCGACGTGGTGCACTACGTGCCCGAGTTCGTGTCGCCGGCCGAGGAGAGCCGCCTGCTGGAGCACGTGTACGCGGCGCCGCGGCCGCGCTGGACCCAGCTGGCGCACCGGCGCCTCCAGAACTGGGGCGGCCTGCCGCACCCTCGCGGCATGCTGCCAGAGCCCATCCCCCAGGTGGGCGCCGCGTCCTGGAGCGGTACCCCCTCCTTCCCCAGGTGGCGGCTGCTCACTGCCGGTGTTCACCACCAGCTGTCGTCTCACCACCTCAGCTCTGTTTTGATGCAACAACTGAGAACCGTGAAATGATCGCTTCATGATAAGACATTTGTGGGCGTGTCTATTGGAATTGTGTCATTTTTCCGTTCGGCACAGTTTTCGGGAAGTGGGTAGTGAGTTGTGCGGTACGTCCTGGGCTCAAAATAGTTCGTTGTCAAATATGCTCAGTACAGATGTTGTTTACCTGACGCCACATGGCAACTTTACGGTGGCGTAGCCGTTTCCCCCTCCTACCACCGCCTCCCTCCCCCCCCCCCTCGTGAGGGTAAGGCCGGGCCATGCCGTCGGCAGTGGCTGCGGCTAACCATGGAGCGGATCGGCGCTCTGGGCTGCTTCGGCGAGCACCGTCCGAACCACGTGCTGGTGAAACGAGTACACGGCCGGCCAGGGCATCATGCCGCACACGGACGGCCCGCTCTTCACGCCTGTCATCACCACCGTATCGCTCGGCTCGCACGCGCTGCTCGACTTGTACCGGCCGCGTCGTGACGCACAGGTACGCTGCCCGACCTGTACCGGCCGCGGCGCGACGCACAGGTATGCTGCTCGACCTGTACCGGCCGCGGCACGACATACAAGTACGCCGCTCGACCTGTACCGGCCGCGGCGCGACGCACAGGTACGCCGCTCGACCTGTACCGGCCGTGGCGCTACGCACAGGACGCCGCGCTCCCAGCCCCGGCCAGGCGAGCGTCGCTCCCGCCGCGGCAGGGCATGTTGTCGCTCCTGGCCACACTTTCACGCGGTCGGCCAGATACGTGCTAAATTTGAAGCGTGTTATGTATTTGCACCATTACGTGTTTGCACTATTTGCACAGGTGCGCTAGGTGCGCTATTCGCATAGTCAATCTCCAATCATTTTAAGTCTTATACATGAAGTGTCACGGGGGTGCCACCTTTTGAAGCCATCACTGAAATATGCCGCACGTGATTTGAAATCACTGCGGCAGCAAAGGCCAGGTTTGGCACAGGATGCATGGAACTTATCGCGTACGACAGAACACCGGCTGATTCGCAAACTTACGTCAGTGCAAGATAGACGCACATAATTTCAAACGATGTTTTTGTCCCGAGCTGCACCAGTGGCCCTGTTGTAGTAGCGGCCAACGGGGCTGGAACGACAGGGCGGTGGGTCCGGTGCAGTGCAATAGGGCTGGAACAGCAGGGCGCTTGGTCCGGGCGCAGCGGCAGCAGGTGGCGGGCTGGAACAGCAGGGTGGTGGGTCCGGGTGCAGCAGCAGTAAGTAGCGGGCTGGAACGGCAGGGCGGTGGGCCGCGCGGTCGGCGGTGGCCGGCCGTTGCGCTCGGCCGGCGGCCGGCGCCATCACACGCCGCCCAGTGAATGCGACAGCCAAATCAGCGGGTAAGGACCCGCTGGGCCGGTCGGCCGGTACCGTGACCACGACGGGCGGTGGCAGGCGACGCTCTGAAACAAGACGTAACATGAAGCGCTCTATTGGCTTGGCTCTCGGGGGTTCACGGTGCTGGCAAAGCCGACGAGGCCAGACCATCATTATGTGTAGCTATGTCAACAGCAATAACGTTTTAAACTGGAGGTTTGCAAGGGGAATCGGCAGGCCTTCATTTACCAGTTGCCGAGGTTTCTAAGCCGGTGATTCGGGAAATGCGCCAATTGTTCACACGCACGTAACGTTGGTACGGGAAGCAGGACCGCGGCCAGATTTCAACTCGTTCCGTATCCACGTACTGAGACAGACAGCATCAAAAGCGAGAGTTCGTTGGTGTACTGAACTGGTAGGCTAACTCACTTACGGACTCCAGTAACAAAAAAAAATGACAAACCACAAACATAAATCACATCGTTGATTTACGTTGGTCATCCAAGCCTAATGACTTGGGCGGCCCGTTGCTGGGTGTGTAACGTCGCCACGCCGCGGCCACTTACGTCACAGACCGCCGCGGCCGAGCCTCCACGCTGTCGCGCTGCCGGTCCGGCCACGAGCACGGCCGCCCCGGCCAGACCACGGACCTGGCCTGCCTCACAGGCTTGTGCCGTGGCTGCCGGCTGGTGGACGTAGAGCGGAAGAGTGCTGTGCGCGCGCAGGCGGGTCACAAGTTGAGTCACAGTTAATCCTGTGCGTCCGACCTTTTTAATTGCCGGCCGAACTTGATGTCATTGTTATATCCGCAAAGCGGCCGCCCAAAATGACGGTGACTCGATCATGACATTTGAATATTGTCGACGATTCCGAACTGCACGTTTGGAGGTGGCCTAATACTGCTATAATCTTGATGTTATTTTCGTTCGCCTGTTATTGTGTTCGCTGGAGAGTTAACGTTGGCATAAATCAGGCGTTTTTTTTAATTTAGGGGCTAGTTATGTGGGTTTTTTCCAATTTGGGGAGAAACGCGTTTATTTTTGCCGCACGACGTCCGCAGATTGTTCGCTGTTTGAGAACCCCTGCATTATTTGCGTCGGAACATCGCTCTATCCCACTCGCTCGATCCTGAATTCTTCCAGTCTGTCTATTTTGGACTTCAGTCTGTGGGTTCGTGGGGGGACCTCAATGAAAAATATTTGAATAGATCTTCCGCCTTGTAGAACTTACAGAAGCTAAACTTGTTCATGCATCTGCATCCGTCACATCTTAGACTTTTCCAAAGTGACGTCAGCACGAGTGCGGGCGCACGACCCGATACGTTGTTGCGCTGCCGCTCCCGGGCACTTTGCGATGCTGTGGTCCGACGGAGCAGACGGATCGGAGGCTGATGACCAACGCCACGACACGGGACATGTGGACACTTCATCCATCTGTGACGTCTCATTGTCCCTTTGACGCTGCACGGTACCATTGACTTAACACCAGCACTGTGCCTGCTCCGTCTCATTTGGCGTGTTCCCTTCCCCCTGACTGCTTTGGGTGGGGGGGGGGGGGATCGGCACCGAGGCGGCGTTGACAACAGCCGACCACGATATGCGCGCACTGGTCCCGGGCATCTGACGGAGCGACCGCTGGTAAGTGAATGCCGCGTCTGTTGGCAACCTTCTACCTGCCATCGTCAGCCTGTTTGCAATCCCGTGCTGCAGGAGTCTTCACAGGGAGGTGGTCTTCTGGAGGATTCGCCACAAAAGGCCGGCCTGCAGGAGGAGGAAGAGGAGGAGTGTGAGGACGGCCGGCCGGTTCTGCTCGGCTCGCTGCTGCTGGAACCGCGCAGTCTCCTGGTGGTGCGACAGGACGCCTACCACAGCGTGCTGCACGGCATCGAGCCCGTTCGCGAGGACACCATCACCCCGACCGTGTACAACGCGGCCGGCCGGCCGACTGGCCAGCGGCTGGTGCGCTCCACGCGGGTCTCCCTCACCATCCGGCACGTGCCCAAGGTGCTGAAGGTCCGGCTGAGACTGTGACGACAGCAGGTCACCGGCGCCCGACGCCGGGCACCTGGTGACGTCCCGTGTACCAGACTTCAAGGTCCGGCTGAGACTGTGACGACAGCAGGTCACCGGCGCCCGACGCCGGGCAGCTGGTGACGTCCCGTGTACCAAACTCCAAGGTCCGGCTGAGACTGTGACGACAGCAGGTCACTGGCGTCCGACGCCGGGCAGCTGATGAAGTCCCCTGTACCAGACTACAAGGCCTGCCTGCGGCTGTGACTCGGCGGGTTCCGCACCGCATCTGTTGCGTTGTGAAGTCGCTCCGTCGGCGGACAGGTGGAGAAGACAGAATGGGAGGTGGCCCGAGACATGTCCCTACCTGGTGCGTGCCGATTTGTTCATAGTCACGCGCTGTCCTGAACTCATGGTATTTGAGTTAACCGTGAGTATTGTATTAGCTCTGTTGGTTGTTGCGTGCCGTATATGACATGCGGATGTATTTTTTAGACAATGCGCACCATTCCTGGATTCCATGTGTAATGCGCGCCCCGGCTTGTGGCTGGCTGGTTTCGGATTTGCATTGAATTGTGTCCGTTGCATTTGCAATAAATGGCGAACGATATTGTGGACCAGCTGCAGAGGACAGCTGAGCACCGCGCACCGAACCCTTCCCAGCCGAACTGAAGCGTGCCGTGCGGGCCGTAACGGCTGCGGAGGGCAGCTGAGCACCGCGCACCGAGTCCCTCCCAGCCGAACTAAAGCATGCCGTGCTGGCCGTAACAGCTGCAGATGGCAGCTGAGCACCGCGCACTGACCCCCTCCCAGCCGAACTGAAGCGTGCCGCGCGGGCCGTAACAGCTGCAGATGGCACCTGAGCACCGCGCACTGACCCCTCCCAGCCGAACTGAAGCGTGCCGCGCGGGCCGTAACAGCTGCAGGGGGCAGCTGAGCACCGCGCACCGAATCCTTCCCAGCCGAGCTGAAGTGAGCCGTGCGGGCCGTAACAGCTGCAGAGGGCAGCCGAGTACCGCGCACCGAACCCTTCCCAGCCGAGCTGAAGCGTGCCGTGCGGGCCGTAAGCGCTTCGCCAGACTGATACCATTGTGGACTGCTAATGCTTTGTATACACTTGCAGATATAGCAATGCTCTGGCCGTTAACAAGGTGCAAACGCGGGATTCAAGGTCTATGCAAAGTCTCCTCCGGTGTGGCAAATTAATAGTGTATGGCTGTAATTTTTGCGAGTCTTGGGTGAAGCCATTGCAGTTGAGTTGCGATGCAGAGGTATTGCTTACTTTATCTTACGGGTTACAAAAGAAGACACGTTCTCTTTGTGGAGTTTATGAAATTGCCGCCGGAGGAACACGAGTCCAGCCTGATCCCCGTAATTCTAAACGCCTCCATCGGTGTGCGCAACTTACGTGTTGCGCATTGTTCTTCGTGACGTGGTCCTCATAGCGGTTTAGGGCCATCAGTTTTGTAATAGTGTTTCCTTCGGCCAGGTGTACCTTTCTTTCCCCGCACGAAACGAAGTCATACACCGACGTGAAGCTGTATTGAAAAGACCATGGACATGGCGGACATACTATTTGTTGCAACTCTCACATTGACGGCTAACGGTGCGCCTCGACTACGTCTGCCACTCCCTCGAAGATCGTGCAGCCTCTTCCTATCAACTGCACACATGGCAATTCGACGGAGAGATGGTGACGAGTGACTTTACGGTTATGGTGTGTAACGGGATCTGCTGATCTCTATAACAACATGTGATGGACACACAGAGAGAAAGAGGGACGAGAGAAAGAGAGAGAGAGGGCGGCAGTACGGCTGGCCGAGGGTGGTGGCGGTGGACGCCGCTGTGGCCGGCGGCTGGGACGCCCTGGCCGATCAGGTCCCCCCTGCTCCGCCCCCACCGGAGGCGACGGTTCGTCGTGGGCGTCCCAGGCCCGTCAGCCTCGGCAGGCGAGGGGTGGACCGCGGCAGCTCTGCGTTAGCGTCGCCTCGGTGTGGTGACCGGCCGCCGCGGCGCCGACCCGACGCCCCGCGCCACCAACCCCTCACGCGGCCAGCCGCCGGCGGCGTGCAATAAATTAAAGAAATACAATAGTGTATACGACGACGCGGCGCTGCTACCGACTACCGGTTCGCGTCCGCCGCGCGCGCGATGCGATGGCACTGGGGCGGGCGAGCGCGCGAGCGCGGCCGCCTAGAAGCCCGGCGTGCCGTACAGGCCGGACGGCTGGCCGGCCGCCGGGAATGCACCGGTGCCGCCGCCGGCGGCCTGGGAGCCGAAGCTGGACGCCTGCGAGCTGGTGACGCCGCTGTTGCCGCCGGCGAAGCTGGACACCTGGTTGAAGCCCTGCTGCTGGACGCCGGCGCCCTGCTGGCGCCCTCCGCCCGCGGACGGCGCTCCGTAGCCGCCGCTCGCGCTGCCGCCGCCCCTGCCGCCGCTCGCGCTGCCGCCGCCCCTGCCGCCGCCCCGGCCGCCGCCGCCGCCGCTCGTGGGCGCTCCGTAGCCGCTGTTCACGCTGCCACCGCTGCCGCCGTTTCCGAAGCCGTTGCCTCCGCTACCGCCAGCACCGGACGGCGCACCGTAGCCGTTGTTGACGCCCCCGCCGTTGCTGCCGCCGCCGCTGCCGCTTCCGCTGCCCGAGGCGTCTGTCTTGCCGATCTCTTCGTTGAGCTGGAAGAAAGACTCGGAGGCGGCGCAGTCGACGTTGTACACCAGTCGCAGACAAAGTACTTCTGGTTGAAGAGTGTGCCGTTCGGGCACAGGAACGAGTCCATGCGGTTGTCGTAGCAGATGTGGAAGACCTGGACGGTGGAATGACATGACTCATTAGCAAATGCGGACATATGTTTATATTTGATAATCAATATTGGTGAAAATTTAATCTTTCAATGATGTATGTTAATGCCAGGCCAGATAACTAGTGCGGATATGTTGGCCTCGGTTATCGGGGCTTCTTAAATTAGTACTGCTTTTGGAGAAAGACATCTGTATGTCATATCCGAGAGATAAGGTCGAGAAATGTCCGCTGGATCTGGGTCCGATCCTCACAGAGAGATAAATGTCTGGCCTGACGGTCTGCTGACGCAGGGCGGCCGTATCACAGGCAAGCAAGGCTAGAAACACATTCCTCCGTGATCCCGCCCCGCACAGCAGAGTCCCATCTCCCAGCGGCGTGTCAGCGGCCGTCTCCCAGGGCAGCTGCCTCACCTGGCACAGAGCCGGGTCGTTGATGTCGGCGTAGTAGCCGCCGGTCGAATAGTCCTCGCAAGAGAAGGATGTCTCTGGCACGACGGCCAGGGTCGGGTAGTCCACTCCCGGCTCCCCGCCGCCCGGGATCGTATCCTTCAGGCTGTGCTGGCCGCCGCCGCCCTGACCTCCGCCGCCCTGACCGCCGCCGCCGTTACCTCCGCCGTTGCCTCCGCCGTTTCCGCCGTAACCACCTCGGCCGCCGCCGCCGTTGCCCTCCGAAACTGCCCCGGCCGCCGCCGCCGGTGCCTCCAAACCCGCCGTTGCCCCCGCCACCGTTTTCCTCCATATCCCCCGCTGCCGCCGCTGCCTCCGCCGCTGTTGCCTCCATATCCGCCGCTGCCGCCGCTGCCTCCGCCGCTGTTGCCTCCGAAGCCGCCGTTGTTTCCGCCGCCGTTTCCTCCGTAACCGCCGTTGCCTGCGCCGCCGCTGCCTCCGTATCCGCCCTGTCCGGCGCCTCCGCCGCCGCCGGTGGTGCCCGTCTGTGGTGCACCGTAGCCGGCCTGGGGCTGCAGCTGGGGGCTGAGGGCCGCGCCCGACTGGGGCGCGCCGTAACTGTAGCCGGCGGTCTGGCGGCCGCGGCGCGCACCGCCCCGCCGCCGGCCTGCGCCCGAGTCGGCCGCGGCCAGCGCCACTGCAACGGTCAGGTTATGTGTGAGCGTCGCTGGTTTACTCTGCCCCTGGTGGGGGGCGCTACGGGGCGAGTTTACCCGCTTCCTTTACACCATGCTTTAACCACAACCACAGAGGGCTGGAAGCGTCGAGGACGAAATAAGCATGAAATGTGAACGAAGTAACTGGAGACATAAATGTGTTCACCATGTTTATGACATTGTGAATTGTTTGAAACATTTTGCACCGCGAGTCTCGGAGGGCACAGCTGGCGGCTCAATGGGGTGTAAACGACATGTCAGATAACAGTGACCGAAACTCGAAAGTACGTACATAAATTACGGGCAAGACACGACAAAGCTGGACACAGTCTCTGTTTTAACCCCACTGCACGACGCACTACGATGCTGTTGGCTACTGTCCATCCGTCTATCGTGAACTCAGTCAGACTTTTGTGCTCAATGCAGTGAAGAGCACAGGCAAAAGGCGGACGTATTCGGGTACATCGCGGCGGCCGGGCTGACGGTCAGTCGCCGAGCCGCGCGCTGACATCTCCACAGGCCGGGCCAAGCCGCGCTCCGTGAGTCGAGGCCCCAGGGACGACACTGCATCACTGCAGTCACATGGCGCCTCTTCTGAACCCGCACCAGGCAGTGTCGTCAGGTGTGTTGGGGCTCCAGGGACGATATACTGCATCACTGCGGTCACATGGCGCCTCTCCTGAGCCCGCACCAGGCAGCGGCGTCAGGTGTGTCGGGGCTCCAGGGATGACACTGCATCGCTGCGGTCACATGGCGTCTCTCCTGAACCCGCACCAGGCTGTGGCGTCAGGTGTGTGTTGGGGCTCCAGGGATGACACTGCATCGCTGCGGTCGCATGGCGCCTCTCCTGAGCCCGCACCAGGCAGTGGCGTCAGGTGTGTCGGGGCTCCAGGGACGACACTGCATCACTGCAGTCACATGGCGCCTCTTCTGAACCCGCACCAGGCAGTGGCGTCAGGTGTGTCGGGGCTCCAGGGACGACACTGCATCGCTGCAGTCACATGGCGCCTCTCCTGAGCCCGCACCAGGCAGTGGCGTCAGGTGTGTCGGGGCTCCAGGGACGACACTGCATCGCTGCAGTCACATGGCGCCTCTTCTGAGCCCGCACCAGGCAGTGTCGTCAGGTGTGTTGGGGCTCCAGGGACGACACTGCATCACTGCAGTCACATGGCGCCTCTCCTGAGCCCGCACCAGGCAGTGGCGTCAGGTGTGTCGGGGCTCCAGGGATGACACTGCATCGCTGCGGTCACATGGCGTCTCTCCTAAGCCCGCACCAGGTAGAAGCGTCAGGCGTCGTGTCGGTCGGTGGTCATGGCATCTCGGCCTTGGTCAATTGTTTCACTGGACTTCGAGACTCCGCCACCATCCAGGTTGAGCCGGCAGCACAGTACCGCTCTGGCCAGCGTCGGTCTCCGCCAATGGGAGCGGCGGGGGCGCTGCTGGGCTGGGATGCCCTCACCGACACATTCATCCACTGGGGGGGGGGGGGGGGGGGGGGGTGTTGGCGGCCAGGCTGCTGCTGCTGACGTAATGGTCACGGGAGCGGCCAGCCGGAGAGGGATGTGTGAGCGTCGCAGCCCGCGAACAGCCAGCCAGAAAGTGAGGGATCTCATCCATATAAGCTATTGCGCGTAATTAAAACGTCCCCCTTCTCTTCCCATTTGCAGTGCACCAGGTGTAGCACCGACCCCGTTACGCAATTGTGCAACGT